GGCTCCATTACAAACACTGGAGCTAAATCACTCCTTGAATTACTTTGGGACAATGACCCAGGGCAGTAATTCAAACCCTAGCTGAAATCTGTGTAGTTCTTTCACAGGTTCAAAACGAAAGGCCCCCTTATCCTATAGCAGAGTTTTGCAAACATTCTATTCAATTTATAGTTTAAGACATAAATCCCTAGGAAAAGGAGTCCTTGATAGCAAACTTTATTCCTTATGGCTCAAAACACAAGCTAAAGCGTCATTGTTATACCCAGTGGAGATTACAGACTATAGCTTTCTTTGGGGGGGGGGGGAGATCTTAAAGCACATAATATATGTGTCCATGTGCATTTTCTGGCATTAACAACCTAGGCCCACTTTCTTTCTTTTTTTCTCGTTATTCAGTGCTTCTTGACAAATTATTACTGATTTCCACTGCTCCCTACAGCAAGACCTGAAACCTTGTCAAGGTACAGAGAAAGTCAAGAGAGGTCTCCGCAGTGCGCTGCTGAAACCCAGATTCACTTTTTAGGCTATTACACCGTAAGCATTAAATAAACAACCATGCATATATCTCCAAAGCAAAGCGTTTGTATGGTACGCTGATCTCCATATTACACATGCGCGCGTTGTTGTTTTTGCGTGTGCGCATGCGCGCGCATGTGCATTAAGAGGCTGGAGGCCGGAAGCCGGGTCAAGAAGCCTGCACACGCGGGAGTGACAGGAGAGACCTATCGGCTGTTGTTAGTTGCAGTGGACTGATTCTGACTTATAGCGGAGACCTCAGGTACCCCACCACACACACCCACACACCCACACACACACCCACACACCCACACACCCCCCCCACACACCAGAAGCTGATAAAACCCATGCAGATCAACAGCGAGGTGTTCAGCAGGCCATTTATAAAGTAATGCATCAGTGTTTCGCTGGTATTCATACGGTTTTCATCCAGACAGCGAAGCAAAATGGCCAGTTGATGCTGCGGGCCACCATGTCTTTTCAGTGGGGACGATCCAAATAACCCTTGATGACCCGAGTTGGTGCGTAACCGAACTCACCCTAGAGTTCACAGAATGGAGGGTTTTCTTTTTTTTTTTTTTTTTACTTTTGCAGAACCAGCCAGGGAAGGGCAGAGATTATACAGAGACTCAGCCGTCTGTGTACAGGCACAGACCAAGTACTGCAATGACCCCGGAGACCAAGGAGAGCATTAGGGTTGACTTGCATGTGTCCTGCCATATTACTCCCTATCCCAGTTCAGTCCTGTAGGGCTGACCGAGTCTGACCTGCTGCCAGGCTGCAAGTCACTTACTGAGTGGCAGAGTGACAAGTCCCTTTTGACATTTCCACTGAGTTGACAGGCAGCGTATGCAACCCAGCTCTGTCCATCCTGTTCCCCCCGGAGAGGGGTAAGGCAGGACACTCTGACCTCAATTTAAAGACAGGACCAATGACACAGCCCCAGAGTCTGGCCTGGCTAAATACTGCACATCACACATGGTGACAGCTGCTCCTCCTGGAAACCCAATTTAATCCTTTGGCTGCAAGGAAGCTTAATGACATGAGAAAAATAGGAAGGCATCTTCTCCAATGTTTTCCTCTGTGCACATACTTCATTATTTCAAAGACTGTTTAGTCTACTTCTCAAAAAAATTGGAAAATATACTTTAACTCCCAGAAGATGTGAATTGTACTTTCAAGTGGAAATAAAAAATAAAAAGCTAACAGGCGTGTGCATGTGTATACACACATACACACACACAATAATCCATGAATCTGATCTGGAAGGCTTTAAAGTTCAAGAGCGAGCTAAGGGTTTGACAAGAACTAAGTTCTAATTCACTGTAGCCAGATAAGCCTAGTTCCCAAATGAAACGGTATAGTCAAGATGCCTAACGCACACTGAATTCTAATTTTCTTTCTCCTCTTCTATTTGCGCCTTCATCTTTCTGGGTCTGCAGGACAGACAGACACCTTGGCTTGCTGTGTTAATTTTAGGCACATTTTTAGTTAGAATCTCTGCATGGCAGTCCTTCCAAGATCTGTCTTGCTGGGTGCTTTAGTATTTTAAACTTTTTTTAAAATTTAATGTTGGGAGGAAGGAAAAGAAATTTTCGGTCCCTTACCTATTGATTATAATTTCTGCTGTCCCTCAGGCCCTCTGTGGATCCTGGTCACCTCAAAAATGAGCCATTAAGAGTAGTTGCACCTGTGGGCTTGGGACCGTGGTTGTAGGAGACATCAAGCTCAACTGCCATAATATACTACACAAAAACATTGTTCCACATCCTGCTTTTGTGAGAGTGACTAGGGTCTTACAAGCTTTCAAGCTGCCATCTAGATGCAACAATGGGTCTCTCCTCATCCACAGCAAAGAAAAATGAAGAAAAACAAAAATTCATGGAAACAATGAGTCCTAGCGACTGGTATACCATCCGATCTGCAGCCTATACGACTATGAGACCAGAAGAACTAGATGGTGCCCGGCTACCACTGTCAACCACTCAGAGGGCGATCAGTGCAAGAAGTCCTGGATAGAGTGGGAGAAAGATGTGGAACAAAACTCAAAATCATTAATAGAAACAAAGACCAGGTTTAATGGTCAGATAGAGCCTGGTGAGACCCCTGAGACTATGGCCCCTAGTTACTCCTCAGGTCTGGAACTGAACTCATTCCTGTGGCTTCTAGCCAAACAGTAGACAGGCAAATGAGGTGAACACTTACATCAGGTAGATACACTCCTTGGAGAGATCAATGGAGGGAGAACAATAGGGCGGTGTTTGCCCAGGGAGACAGGTTGGGGGTGGGAGTGCATGGGAGGGAAGGACACAGGGAAGAGGAAGTGGGAAGAGAGCTGTTACATTGCGGGGAATTGCAGTCAATGTCAGTCAATGTCATGAGACAAAATGTGTATGAACTGCTGTATGAAAAATGAATTTGCTCTGTGAACTTTCACCCAAATCACAATAAAAATTTTGAAAAAAAAAAAAGCTATTAGTTTTCTTTGTCAATGCAAATTGTCGTCTTAAATGATCTCAACCAAAATGTAAATGTTGCGAAACAACGGATCAGGAAGCAAAGGACACTGGTTCTTTTGCTTTGTTTTCCTAAATAAATACCACAACCAACAGCACAACCGTCCCCAGAGGAACGGTGGTGCCATATTAGCCAGGAACAGCTGCCTAGAAGTATTTACTGAAAACCATGCAAAAATCTGGTTTAGCAATCAAAACGTGCCTTGTGCCCGCAGGTGAGCAGTTTATTAGGACTTTAGGCACTCGTGAGCGCCCCAAAGGAATCCCGGTTTCTGTCCAAATTTAAAAAGTGGGCTCTGCAGTTCTGAAAGAAAGGCAGTGACTCAACGCTTCTAGCCTCATCGTGGACGCTCGGGGTTTTAGAAAGCTGTATCTCATCCTAAAGAAAAGACACGATGTTACTTTGGAAGGGGAGTTTCCTCGAAATGTTCAGAATTCTTTGCAATTAAAACTGCATATCCCAGTCTTGGTTAACCTCCCTGGTTAGGCTGATCATGACAACTGTGTCTGTCTGGCCTCCAGGGCTTGATTTCCAAGGGCGCTGTCCCAAATAGTTGGCCCTCTACTCCTAGCATCAAGGTTAGTGGTTGGAATACAACTAGAGGCACCACGTGAGAAAGAGTCACGTGAGACCTGGCAATCCGCTTCCATCAAGATGGCGGCCAGGAAGACCCCGTGGGGCAGTTCCGCTCCGTACCACGTGAGGCGGCCGGGAGTTGGAATCCCCTTGAGGGCACTGGGTTGGGTTGGGTTTGTCTGAGGAGAGCTGGTGGCAGCCGCGCGCCAGCTCCTCCTCCCAGTTTCTCAGTGCCCTTCTCCCTTCCTTTCTTCGCCATCATCCCCCTCCCCCCAATCTCTCTTTTGCATCCTCTCTGGCTCCAAGCTATCAAGTCTCAGGTGTGTTCCTTCTCTGGGAAGAAGTGCTGTCAATTGATTTCTCAACAGTGAACAACAAGTGCATGTTCTCATTTGCAGGATGTCCAGGCCCGGGGGTCTTCTGGAGGTTGGGGAGTGAGTGTTCAGAGTCTAGTGTGTGTGTGTGTGGAGCCTGAGGGATTAGCAGCTGCCCCCAGCCCTCAGAAGCAGGCAGGTGCAGGTAAGCATAGAAAATACACATTGTTTCTTTTCTTTAGTTACAGAACCCAGAAGGAAGGAAGAGTTTTCTCACACCCACATCTGAATCTGCAGAGGGTCTAGCAATAAAGAGATTAAGGTTGGGGCTTGCGGGCTGCTCACCAGCTGCCATGCACGTAGCAGGTGGGCTAGCCATGCAGAAAGTTGTGGAGGGCTGCCTGGACAGGGTGGGGACACGCTGCAAGGCACCTGGAGAGGATGCAGAAGGCTTGGCCAGCCGGTGGGCTCTGCTCAGAAAATGGCAAGGGGGTTAAAGCATTTGTTCTCAGGTTTCCCACCCAGACATACGTATCTCTGATTTCCTTGCAATCAAGAAGTTTATGCCAATTTCATACACACAAAATAAGAAAAGCTGAGACAGCAACCTGCCGCCTTGTGAAATTGACACACTGCCTGGGGCCCTTACCCGTTAACAAAACAGGAAGTCCTGCACCCCCCATTCCAATTACACAAGATGGGTTTCTCACGCAACATAAAACTCCCACACCTCTCTCCTGGAACAACTAGTCCTGATGTTTAAATGTTGGTGAAACATAGTGTTTTTAATTTCACACCTCACAGAGCACAGTTGAATGCTTTATAACAACATAAACAAAAGTTCGGCCAAGCACTGCAGACAAATTGGGAGGAGGGGGGAACACCCAGCTTCCCCCACTGTACGGACTCCAGGGTTGCGAGGGAAAAGGTAACTAACAAACTGGTTGGCTAAGGCCACAGAAATGTGTTTCCCGGTGTTTTGGCTTCTGACGCCAGTCTCTTTCGCCAAAAATATGTTAACACTGGATGCGACAAACCGAATCTCTTTTCCTGGTATCCATCAGAACAATCTGCCTCTTACTTCTTCCTTGATTTCTTTTTGGTAGTGTCGTAAGCACGGACGATTTCTTCCTGAGTAACAGCTCCATGTTCTTCTTGAGAAAAAGCATACCCATCTGAAAGAAAGCACATGGTGGGGGGCTTGGGTTATTGGAGATCACTCAGCATTTACAATAGCTATTTCGGAGAACTGCAGCCTTGGATGGGTGGAGGCCTGGAGTCGTTTGGTGTGGCACATGGTTAAGGTGCACGGCTGCTAAGCAAAAGGTTGGAGGGGCCTTCTGAAAACTTAGCTGCTGCAAACTTCAGAGAGCGCCGTTGTGCTCTGAGTCACATGGGGTCAACGTGAGTCAGAATCAACCTGAGGGCAACTGGGAGGAAGAGACCTGGGCCCCAGAAGGGGAGAGTGGGCCGGGGATGGGTGGTGGGAGGACGTAGCTGACCAGTGGCTGCACGAGGCTGACACAGGCTGGCGAAGGTTCAGCAGCCTGGTCTCCTACTCCTGAGTGCTGCAGTGCAACTCAGTGTGAGCAGTGTTAATGGGGTCACTGGCTGGTCCCGGGCCCCCCTTTCCCATCACCAATCAAGAGGAAAGGCAAGTTACTGGGCTCTGGAAATGCTGCCAGGGCAACTCATGAAGCTATAAACATTTTGGGAAAACCCATACAAAGGTAATAGTAAGAGCTGGCAGAGCAGTAGTGATGCTTGCAGCGTTGCTTAAATTGGACTGATTCGGATTGGACGCGAGTCGCTGAAGTGGGTTTATGTCCCTTTAAGTAAATAAGATCACGAGATAAAGGCAAGGGGAATTTAGTGAGAGGCCTGTGACCACAGGCAGACTGGTTCATACAATCAGTTAATAAAGCAGAACAAAATGAATAATCAAACCGGTTGCCGCCGAGTCAGTTCCAACACATGTCGACCCCACACGTGTCAAGAGTAGAACTGTGCTCTGTGGGGTTTTCAATGGCTGATTTTCTGAAGCAGTTCTTACCAAGTCTGTCTTCTGACACACCTCTGGGTCTTGAACCTCCAACCTTTCAGCAGGCAGCTGAGCATATTAACCGAGCCACCCAGGGACCAAACCAAGCCAAACTCACTGCCATTGAGTTGATTCTGACTCATAGCAACCCCCACTGGGTTTCCAAGGCTGTAAGTCTCTAAAGACTGCCTCATCTCTCTTTCATGGAGAAGCTGGTGGGTTCGAACCACTGACCTTTTGGTTAGCAGCCAAATGCCTTAGCCACTGCACCACCAGAGCGCCTTCAACTAGAGGCCTTCAGTTAGTAAGAACAATAAAAAAAAATTTGGAAAAAATAAAAACAATAGCTTTGTGACCAGTCGATTCTGACTCATGGTAACCCCTTGGATGTAATCTTTATAGAAGTAGGTTATTAGGTCTTTCTTCCATGATGCTGTGGGTGAATTTGAATTGCTAACCTTAACATTAGTAGCTGAGCACAAACTGTTTACACCTTCCCTCCTCCAAAAAAGACAAACTCACTGCCATTGAGTCAGTTCAGACTGATAGCGACACACACTGGGTTTCCAAGGCTGTAAATCTTTAGGGAAGTAGGTTGCCCCATCTTCCTCCTGTGGAGCAGCTGGTGGGTTTGAACCGCCAACCTTCTGGTCAGCAGCCAGATGCCTTTGGCTCTGCGTCACCAGAGCTCCTTTTTGTACCACCAGGGACCTAATAAGCAGAACTGTTGTTTTTAGCTGCTGTCCATTCCTTTCTGACTTGTGGAGACTCCGCAATGGAGTGGAACTGCTCCACTGAGTTTCCAGGGCTGTGCCATTTTGGAAGAAAATGACCAGGCCTGTCTTCACAGGCGCCAAAGGGTGGGTTTGAACTGCCAACATGCCAGCTAGTAGTTGAGCGCTTAACCATTTATGCCATCCAAGGACTCCTAATAATAACAATAATAATAATTTAAAACACCTGTTAATGAATCATTGAGTCGATTCCAACTCATAGTCACCTGTATGACAGAACAGAATTGCCCCATAAGGGTTTCCAAAGCTGCAAATTATCAGGGAGGCTGATTATCATGTCTTTTTATTTCTGAGCGGCTGGGGGGTTTAAACTACTGACCTTTCATTAACAGCCAAGTGCTTGCTCACTGTGCTACAGGGGCTTCTCGATAATAAGAATAATCAACACTTCATACATGCTCCTTGTGTAGGAGGTAATGCTCACAGATTAGCTCACGTTAATGCTTCCATTGCCCTGGGGAATAGACACTATTATCTTCCATTTCACAGATGGGGAAAGCGAGGTACAGAGTGATTTCATACCTTGCCCGAGGTCACAGACTGGGTGAGTGGCAGAGCCGGGAACCGAACCCAGGCTGTGAGCCTGTGAAACTCCAGGCTCTGCGTTTTTCTGTCTCCAATTCTGAAAGGTAGCGTAGTGCCTAAGGCACTTGACTGCTAACCAGAAGGCTGGTGGTTCAAACCCACCAGCCACTCCTCAGAAGGAAGGTTGGGCAATCTACTTCCGTAGTGATACCACCTCGGAAACCCAAGGAGGGGTTGCTATGAGTCGGGGCTGACTCGACGGCAAATAACAACAACAAAAGTGAGGCTTCCTTCCTAAGTAGCTCTTCCCCCAGAAGAGGCATTTAGAAGGATGGCTCTCTGTTGGCTAACCCTTCTGGAAGGGGTGAGAAAGGTCCCATAGTTGAGTTAGATGTTCTGACCACAAGACAACACAGTCAAAAGGCTGACAGTTACGACCTATCCACGGAGCTGTTAGTTCACTGCCATCGTCTTCAAAGGAGGAAAAGAAATCCGAAGTTGGGCGTATGTGTCGTCGCCTGAGTTGTTGGTGGAGTCACCCAGATGTTTGGTTTAGGAAGGAAAGTTTCTCGTAAGACATACTGTAAAATGCATCCGAGAGTCCTCCTGCGGTGGGAGAAGTGGGCAACACTTGGATGTCTTCCTACTCCACACCTGCCCATAAACTGAAAGTCTGCACCCCTGGGCGACCTGCCCAGCCCTCCCAAAAGCAGTCCTGTGCCACGGGAAGAAAGCCCCAAGGCTCGGGAGGGTCCCAGTGCCCACCCAGCAGGGCCCGGCCACCTAGGAGGCAGGGCTTGTCCACAGGCTGGGCCAGGGGCCGCCTGAGGACACAAACTCACAGAGGACACGGAGTCACAGAGAGGAGGGAAGACAAGAAGGGGGATGGAAGTCATGGGAAAGGGTCTTCCAGGGCTGACTCTGCTACCCCCTCACTTCTATTCTGAACCCCAGCAAATCCACAAACCCTGCAGGTGGCAGCCAGGGAAAATGTAGCCCCCAAGACCAGCGTCCAGCCTAGGTGGTCCCCTAGATAACACAGGGGCCGGCTGGCTGGATTTGAGCTGAGCCAGCTGGGTTACCTGGCTGGGGACCCCTGGATGGCAAGCTTCTGCTGGTTCCAGACGTGCCCACTGCACAGGGCTCTGCCCTGCATCACGCGGGCTTTCCACACACGCGGCTTCCCAGCCTTTGCTCTGCTCCTCACACCTCAGACTTCACTCCATCTGCTCCTTAGCAGTGAGTCAGAGATGCCTTCTCTCACCTCTGTCCTAGAAGCTTGTAGATTTTCTACTGAGTGGCTTGGCCAGGCATCCCTCCTGCGCCCATCATTACCCTGGACAATGAGACCTCCGTGGTCCGGCTTTGAGGGTCCTGCTCCAAACCACCTCCTGGCTCCCTCCAGCGCGGGTGGCCGCCAGCCTCCCTGCCTGCCCAGCACAAAGTGCTCTTTGTGAAGAATCTGTATGAGGAACCAAGTACACAGGCTTCTCCAAGCAAAAGCCTTCAAACACACTGTCTCCTCCAGTAACAAGGCTGGGTACTGTAGTCATCTTGGACAATGTTCATTCTCAGCTCTCCTGAAAAGGGCCATTGCTAGTAACAGCTGAGACTTTCCTGAGGGGCCAAGCCTTCATTGTCTTTGGACCAGTAATGCTGCTGGGTGTCAGTCCTGCCTCTGACTCTGTGGACCTGGCTGTTGTTGTTGTTTGCTGTCGAGTCGGACCCGACTCATAGCGACCCCTCCCTGGGTTTCCGAGGCAGGATCACTATGGAAGTAGATTGGCCCATCTTCCTTCCGAAGAGTGGCTGGTGGGTTTGAACCGCCAGCCTTCTGGTTAGCAGTCAAGTGCCTTAGGCACTACGCCACCAGAGCTCCCCTGTGGACCTGGGAGCCCCCTCTATCTGGATGTTTCTCTACTGGGGGGGGCACTGATCTGATCATGTGATGGTCACCCCTCGCCCTGGCACTGGCATCACCTTGTGAGTGCTCCTCGCAGAAGTCCTGAGGGCTAACTGAGCTCTTGAGCTAGAAGACAGCTGTCCCCACATGAAGGGTTCTCTTCTTGGATCCTGTGGGATGAAGTGGCTAATGCACCAGGGGCAAGAAGAGGTGACTTGGAGTCCTGGCTTGGTCATTGCATGGCCAGATGACAGTGTGACCTTGGGCTCTTTAAGTTCTCTGGGTCTTGGTTCACTTTCCCTTAAAATAAGGGATCTGGACAAGGTGAGGTCAAGTTCTCTCACAGCTTCAATCTTCTGCATGGTCTCTGGGAATCTCCCGGGTTAACCATCTCCAGGCTGCAAAAGCTGCTCATTTGTTTTCTATGTTGATTTACCCTCTGTGCCCATGGGGCTGGTCTCTACACCCAAACCAGAAATGAAAGGAGCCTGTTACAGCCATCTGTCAAAAAAGAACAATTAACTACCTTTGTCTTTTGATGGTTTGTGTGGATGTGTGTGTGTAGGTGGGTGCAGAGGGAGAATTGGGGGACTTTTTTTAAATTTTTATTGTGATTTAGGTGAAAGTTTACAGAGAAAATTCATTTTCCATACACATTTTTCATACACATTTTGCTTAATGTCATTGACTTCAATTCCCCACAATGCAACAGCTCTCTTCCCACTTCCTCCCCATAGTTACCTCTTCTCTGCATCCTTCCCTCCATGCACTCCTGCCCCCCGAGCTGTCTCCCTGTGCAAACCCCATCCACTCTCCCATAATTGATCTTTCCAAGGAGTGTATCTATCTGATGTTCACCTCATATGCTTGTCTGTTGTTTGGCTGGAAGCCCAGGGAGTGAGTTCAGTTCAC